TCCACCACCATAAACTAATAATCTGCAGAATGCAAATAAGTTTTATCACTCCAGGTGCCCCATGCAATCACTAGCCAATATATACAAAGGATTAAGGCTAAGACATTTACAAAACAATATGTATCTCATAATAAAGTTAGTATAGGTTTCTTTTTATGCTAATGGACACAGAAGGAAGACGTAACAATCAGGAAAGCCAATAATCAGTAGAGAACTGCAGCAAAAGTAACCTTGAATTGGACCCTGCAACAGTCAATGCAAGTGGAACAACAGTTCAAGGAAACAGCAGAATTATTGCTGATACTCGTACACACCAGTCTGAATAAATAGCATATGAATTCTTATATAAGGGTACTTGAAAAGGGAAAGTAGGAATATCCATCAACTGGCAGCACAGAACTTCATTTCCATTATCTTCATCTGCATTAGGGGAGAATGTTAATACGTCTTCAAAACAATTAATTCAATACTAATTGGGACTGAGGAAGCTCATTCTATCTTTTATCCTAATCCTGGTAGTTAAAAGGTGATTTTAATTGCCATAGTAATCAGATATAATGAAGAGCAAAACTGTTTCTGATTAAATAACATTTGCCTCAGAATTGCTGTTACACGCTTTGCAGCTCCTAGAGAGCTGCCTTCAGTTCTTCTCTTCTCTCTCTTGTTCAGATATGCACGTGGAAGCGACACTGCAAGAATTTTGCAGATGTTAAGTCAGATGGAAGTCATGAAAGACTATGTAAAATGTATCCTAGCCCAGTCTGCTACAAGCCTCAAAAAAAAGGAAACGCTACTGAAAAAATAGCTACAAAAAATGTTCTCTTTCCATCCACAGTAGTAATGTTTGGAAGTAACAGAGTGCAACAGTTGCCAGAACGTCTTGCTATGGTTTGGACTACACCACAGGTGAAATCAGGCACCGCATAATGGGAAATGTGTATTAACAGTATGAATTTTTTAAAAAGGTTTTCATATTAAACAACTGGTCTCACTATAAATTGCTTTGAGGTCTAGTTTTAAATAAACAATATATGAAATATACTTTTTCACTATGAATCGTTAAAAATACATTCTGAAAAACCTTAATGCAGATAAGAGTAAAATTCATGAAAACAGAAAAAATCTACTTAGCTTGGCTAAATTCAACCAATTTTAGCAAGTTTGATAGGGTTTTTTTAAACTGCAATTTTTCATCAGTCTTTAAATAAATTTTATATGGATATTAATGTCTTCTACAAAATAGAGACAGGGAATTGCAGAGTTAAATTCTGAAAATATCTCTCAGTAGTTTTGAGGAGTTTCATAAGTTGAATACTACATTATGCCTTGTCCATCATGCTGCTTTTATAGAAAGCCACAAAAGTTGCTTCTGACTCAAGCCATTAAACATCCTTTTCTGTCCCAAACACCTTATTTGTACCAACAATTTATCCTAAACAATGCCAAGTCCATTGACTACAACTGACAAAATAACTTCCAGTAGAAATTATTTCAAGATAAACCACAGACCCAAAGGTTCTTGGTCTCATTTAATATTTATTTTTAACTGAGAACCACTTCACCTTTCTTCATCTATTACTGTGCACATTTTCAAAAAAACAAAAACAAAAACAAAAACAAAAACCTACACATTATAATAGAGGTTCTTGAGGCAAGGAAAAGGGTACATAATGGATAAAATTGTATGGTAATTTTTTATTTCAGAAGTTATATGTCGATTTTGACAGCCCACTAAGTTTTGCATGGAAAAAAATCTTCCTTTGAAATGTGGACGTTATTTTAATACTTAGAATAGTTAGAATGAGTTATGTTTGAACCTCCAAGTTTACATGGTATTGTGAGCTCTTCTATATGTTACATTCATTTTTATTCATTTTGAAATGTTTAGCAGGATTTATATCAGTTTATACATAGTATTTATGTGGCATCTCAGTTACACAAAATAGCAAACTGGGTAACCTGGCAACTCTGAAATTCTTTCAGAACTAGGTATTATACAGAACAGTTCTTGACTCTAGCTACATGGCAGTTTTCTGCTCTCTCTGTTACACCAAGAAATAAATATTAATTGTAATATTTAAATAATTCTACTTAATTCTCACCTGGATCCTCCAGTGGCCACAAAAAAAATTGTAACTGCGTAACCAGCTAACACAGAAAAAATATTTATACAGCTACACACTACAAGGCTGGAAAATGTAAGAACCCTACTGCTCTGACCTGAAAGGCTGTAGCAATGTGTTCAAATTTTATTCATGAAGATATAGCTAGAGAAATAACTGAAAAAGAGTTAGGTTAAAATCCCTTCGGGTGAAAATCACCTTGTCAAAATGACAGCTTGAGAGGACATCTGCTTCCTCCCTTTAAGTCTTCTGTGTCACATTCACTTAGACAAATTTACAAACTATTTATATTAGCAGCAATGAGCATACAGAAGTAGATCTATCAAGGAAAAAAAAAAAAAAAAACTTACTTGGCCAAAGCAGTTAATTGAATATCAATGTCATGGCACCCAGTGGGGATGGAGCTATCCCCTGCCTCCTACCATGGCAACAGAGCTGGACTATATGAAACATATTTCAATATATGTAAAAATTGGATGATGTATTTTAGAAGTATTCAACTAACTTTCTGTCACTGGTTTAGAAACATCAGCTTCTCACACTTTGCAACAGCTAATAAAACAGGTTACATCCCCTTAACAGGTAGTTTAACCTCTCAGTATGTCTTCAAGCATACTGGTAGAGGGGAGGGTTAGGGTTCATTTAGGTTCTTCTTACCCCCTCACAGAAAAGTGCCTGGCCATATCAAAAAGGACTTTTTTTTTTCCCCTTTTTGTCACATGACAGAAATTAAAGAAAGACTAGTCAAATGAGACTAGAAAAGTCTCATTAGACATCTCAATAAGCTTAACTTCACAAAATAGAGAAACCTTATTTATGCATCATCTGTATTTAAATTTTATACTTTGCTTATAGTTAAACTGAGATTATTAGAAGAATCTTTAACGTGGTATAAAATTTAAGTTTCTCAACTATACAAAGCAACAGAGTTGTTAACTAAACCTTATGCTACAGTATACTCCACACAGTGCCACTGCTACTTCAAGCAAGGCCAAAAGTAATGTGGTACCACTGCAGAAACCCTCCAAACCAGCCCTAGGGAAATCACTTTTAAAAACAACAGACACCAATCAAATAAACAGCAAAACTCTGAAGCTTTGTGGCAAAGTCGTGTACACAAACGTGAGAACTTTTAACAGATTCCCACATGAATTCATTTTCTATCATGGTATTTGAATTACAGTACACTAATATAAATTCATTCTTAAAACACAGGATGCAAAGAATGAAATACTGGGCAAAACAATTTATCACAAACAGCAAATACAATAGTAAATCTAATTTACATATACTATTAACTCTATTTTAAGAAATCATAAACTGATCATAGAAGAAAGATTTTTCACTTGTAAATAAAACTTGATCTCATTTAGTCCACTTCTTTGTTTCTGCAGATTTATATATGGGTTGTCCATTTACACCTAATTTAAACTGAAATTACTCAGCGGAAGAAGAGCACAAAGTTGTGACATTTGTGTACATATAGTAACAAAGACAAAACAGAACTACCTGCTGAAGTAATTGTAAATATGATTAAGTGTGACAAAATAATGCTTAAATAGAGGACATATTTGTAAGATTCAAGTGTAGCTGCAGGTCCTGTAGAAAAGTGGTAGCCAAAGAGGAAGGGGAGCTTGGCTGGCTAACATTCCTTGAGGGCTTGCTCTCCATGCACAACTGAAAGATTTTCACTAGTGATGGGAAATATACTGTTGTGCCAGAAATATTGCCATTCTAAATACACGTGACACCAAACTGTATCTGAAGTATTACATGACAATATTTTACACTACTGCATTATCAGTGATGGAAATCCTGACCAGTCCCTTGTCTTTTCACAGCTCCTCAGTCATCCTCTGAAATGTTGGAGTGGGTCTGTTTCCCTGGTCTAATATTTCTCCAGTATTTGTCATCCTTCTATGAAGTGATTTACAGATGCTGTATATAAGCCCTTGAAAGGCTGTGTTATTTCTAAATTTACAATCTAAATTCGATCACTCTCCAGCACAGTACTAATGTTTGTTTGTCATAATTACATGGTTTACTGCAACATGATCCTTACACCAAGTTAATACATCATCACATCCTCTTATAGAGCTCATCATAGCCAAAAAATAAACAACATTTTTCCAGGATTATGTACCTTTTAAGACTGTTCAGTGGATAAAAAGGACAAGTGTTTTATAGATGGGTCAGATTAGCAGACGAACATAAACTCGTGGAATCTGAACAAAAAATTGCTTTATTACCACCTCTACATGCCTTCTAGAATCAGAGGTAAAGAATAAAGACTGTATTTTACAACCTTCTGGAAATCTGCACAGTATCAATATCAGGATCACTTGATTCCTCCTGCTTTCTTACTTACTTCTTTCAAAGAACAGCCTTGTGCAAAATAAAATATTCTCACAGCTGACAAGCCCAATGCTTTGGTTTTTATTATGCTCAAATGTCACTCTGCACTTGGCTCCAAGCTCAACCAGATATTCCATCTCCTAATAGGACTGTTGGGAGAACATCCATTATAACATGGAGCCTCCAAGCCCAAAAATAAAGATGTTAATTGCCACACTACCTTGATTATAGAGATGTTTACAGAATGAAATGAACAACAAAGCAAGTAAGATACTTCTTCTTGGAAGTAAATCCATATGAAAAAAAAAAAAAAATCAATTAACTGCTGCAAATGAAAACAAGCCAATAATTCACAGTGAAACTCCTTGAAAGGAACATTACACATATTAAGAGGCAAACATGAAACTACACAACCAGGTACAATAAAATGAAACAGAATTTTCACCGAAAAAGCCAACCTGTTTTTGCCAGCTTTCAAAACAGGTAACAAGTATTTTTTATATTTGCAAGGAATAGCTTTACCTTTATTCATGTCAATCAACTGCTGCTTCTTCTTCTGTCGCTCCAGTTTCTCTCGTTCAGCCTTCTCTTTTGCCAGTTTGGCTCTCTTTGTTTTCTCCTCCATTTCTCTTCTTTTGTTGTTCTCTTTTAATGCCTCCTGCATTAGATAAAATGAACATGGGTGTCTATATTCTGAGGAAAACCAGAATGAACAACAAAAAAAACCTTGTTTGCACTGTGTTTATATCCAGTGATGGGGAGAAAAAACAGGGGTGAGCACCCAATACTTCAAGCATCTCCTGAAATCTTAGAGGGAACATAACTTACCATACTATTAGTACACATAAGCATTATTAGATAATCAGAAGAATGAAAATTGAAATAGCTTTGCATTTATGGTAAATGAAGAAGTTTGTGATTTTTCAGCAGCAACACATTTGTATTTTGTTTTTCTGAAGACTCTAAGTCTAGCTTAAACTTGTGTCTTGCTGTTAAGAGTAATGAGTGGGGATGAATCCAAGTTCCTACTATAACAGACTTCAGTTACAGGTAATTGAAACTCAGTTACTAAAACCTCAACTACAATCCCTCAAATAATTTTGTTGAAATAGCCAAAGCAGTCTGGATCACTTAAATACAGAAAATACATCAAAAGTATTGGAAAGCAGATGCATTTATAGATTAAAACTCTAAATCCAAAAGTTTCTGAGTCAACACGTTACACAAACTACCAACTTAAAACTAGAAACCTAAGAGAACATACCTGTATTCGAAAAACAACCAAACAACCAACCACTTCCCATGATTTTGCCTATGTCTAAGTCCCCACCTGTCTAGAAGATATGCTCTTTTGCCAAAAGAGATTAATCTTGATTTCTTGCTGTGGGGGTTGACCTTGGCTGGCTGCCACACACCCAGCTAGCCACTCTCTCACTCATCCTCCTCAGCAGCATGGGAAGACAAGAAGAGGACAAGCTCATGGATGAAGACAGAGAGGTGGCTTCACCAACTACTGTCATGGGCAAAACAGTGGGGAAAGATTTATTTAATTGATAGCAAATTAGACTTGGATGTTGAGAAACAAAGACCAAAATGGAAATGCCTCTCCCTCCTTCTCAGGCTCAACTCCACTCCTTCATTCCCAGCTCCTCTATGCACCATCCCCCAAAGTGATGCAGGAGGGATGGGGTGGAATGAGGGTTGCAGTCAGTCCACAACTGTTGCTCTCTGCCACTCCTTCCTCCTCACACTTTTCACCTGCTCCACTGTGGGTCCTCCCTGCAGGCCACAGTCCTTCAGGATGAACCTGCTGCTCTATTGTGGGTCTTCTCTATGGGCTCTCTATAGGGAATTTCACCTCATGTCACACACAGACATGATAAACAGCAGGGATAATTCTTATTCATATTCAAAACAGCTACAAATGTATTGGCCCCTTTCCTTTCAAACTCATAGTATACTAACATGCTCTACCTACAAGTACTGTAGGTCTGGGATTCAGGTGATTTTGGGAGTTGCAACACATGATGTCCAAGAAGCAGTAACAACAGTAAAGAAGATCAGGGATCCAAAAGTGTCTAGAATTAACACAGAACGTACTCATTAATGTTGTTTCAACTTAAAAAAAAAGAACAGTCAATACCTAGTAAGCACTGGGCATAAAGCAAACATTTTCCATGTCAGTGTTTACTTTATTCACTAAGCAAGTCAATCATGCCTTAAAAACTGGGAAAATCCTGTATGTTCACAAATACAAACTACGAAGAAGATTTGTTTCTGTATGTTGTTGTAAATAACCAAGATAATATATCAGTTATTATTCCACATGTAAAATTTCCTTAAGTAATTTGGGACAGACTCATATTACACAGTTCTATATGTTCCTCAGAGATGACATTTCAAATGTCATTTCTAAATTAAGATGATTATTCACTGTGTACACGCTAGGAAGAGACTAAGGACCACAACTGTCACATTCGGAAGAAAATCCTATCTAAAGCATCTTTAAGTTAGACCACTAATTGGTAACCCAAGACTCCCAAATGCCTCCTAATACAGAATATTCACTCAAGCAAAGGACAACTCACTTCAGTGTTCATATGCCATTTCAAGAGTTTACTGAGATAAAATAGCACACACAGTCCCCTCTTCAACAGCTGGTACTGTTTTGCAGAGATGCTGCATATCACAGTTACTAGAGATGTTACTTGTGAATGCACTTGAAAATTGGACCAAGAACTGCATTTGCTGTACCATCACATAACCAATCGTGCTGAGAAACACCTTTTCTTTCAGAAAAGAGAAAAGAGAATTGAGAATTAAAGGAGAAAATCAATGTTTTATCCTTTTTGGTTTTGGACAGTTCTGTCTCTGCACATTCAATCACACTTGACAGAGATTTCATTTTACTCCAACTTCACAGGCTGTAATGAAAGTAAATGCCCACAATCTTATGAGAGAAAGCAAATAAGAAATGTCATGGCTGAACTAGTAGCCCACCAGCCACTGACATGCTATGATTAGATCTTATATTCTGTCACATTTTCTAACAGGAAGACTACAGTAGACTGAATTAAACAAGCTCTAAAGTTATTGTATCTGGAAATTCACTTTGCGTCATACTCTATATGTCCTTGCTGAAGGGAGATCAGATGAAAATACAGATTGCAGTTTATAAAATATGCTGCCTTGCAATGATGATTCAAAGAAAAAGCCATTCAAAGTAAAGGTTTAATCTTCCTGAAGAAGAGTAAGATAACAAGATACTGATGACTGCGAGTGCTTGTTTTCATCTACCTACACCATCTCTTCATATACATGCCTATCTTCATGCAAACAAAAATAAACAAAGCCTACCATACCAACACATGCAGTAGAGGAAGCACAAACAGCTCACATGGACCTGCTCATTATTTCTTCACAATGCACATTTTCCAGTATTTTGTTTTCTTTCAGGATGTAAATGCCTTAAAGCATCTTCATATACTGTCTCTTTCCAGAGGTGATAAAGGAAGAGTTGAAGACAGGAAGTAAAAATCCACTCAGTGCTAACTTACACTTGCATAGCTTTTTCCAAAAACCTTGTTGCTCTAACAGGTAGAGGTTGCACAGAAGGGTATTAACACCCAGCACTTTCTGCAGTGGTTAATGGGGGGACACTGAAAGGCAGGAGAGAGAAACCCCAGCAGGGCCTCACACCACTATACCTCTGAGGCTCTTGGTCCCTACCTGCATTGGCTGTCTCAGAACTAACTGTGCAACGCAGCACTACACACATACAGCTTCAGAAACATTTCCATAACAATGTAAAAGAATTACTCTAGAGAAAGAAAAAAAAGTGTCTTACCTGCTCTTAGCTTTGCTCTAAGTACTCCACTAACTGCTTGATAACAGCTCTAGTATTTCTGGTTATTATTTAGTGGATTCTTTCTTGTCATCCCTAGATCTCTTGAACCACCTATCCACCCATACAGTTTTATGCCACTTTCCTTGAAACTCAGCATAAATTCTTTTCATCTACATTCCAATTCAAAATGAATATTGTGGGGGAAAAAAAACACAACAACACAAGGATGAGCTATCTGAATCATCCCCACTGTTCAGTGCCTGCATCCCTTTCCTTCAGACTATCTCAGAACCAAACCACCTGCAATGTACTGGTTTGTTATCCATCCAGACTCCATTGTCAGTCTGACTCTTAACCATTTCAGATTTGTTATGTCATTTACTACTGTACATTCAGAGCTGGATGAAAGCCTCAAATACAACATTTGGAAGAGCCTACTCCCAGTTGTTTTCAAGTTACGCGTTGAAACCAAAATACATATGGATTCATTTGTGTTTATAAACTTATTTCATATTTAAACTAGTATTGCTAAAAAACTTGATCATAGTTTTTCAAGGCTGATTGAAGATGACTGTAAATAAAGGCAAAAAGAATTCTGACTCAGATGTATAGTGGTTTCTACAGCATTTGCTCTGCCTGAATTATACCACCAACCAACCCTTCAGGTTTCCTTTTCTACAGTTTCACTGGGCTATTTTTCTCCTTCATGCAGTTTCAATTACTTCATTATTTCCTATTTCCTTGCTTTCTAGACTTCCAGACTGTAGATGAGCCTAAGAATTTCTAATACAAAGGTGTCATGATTGTGCACCTGCCTTACCACAGTGTTACTTCGGCCCACCAATTTAAAGCCTTAAGTTAAAAGAAATCTGGACATCTCATGCTTTCACCTCACTTTTCTTTGACATACTTTTATACTCCTCTGTACCTATTCTCCAGTAATAACCTTTCTGTATAGGTCTGCAGGTCGAATTACCTGAAAAGGTAGAGAACTGAAAAAAATAGCTCTGTATTTGGCACTGCTTTTAATTGGTGGGTGAAGTAAATCAGCAGTTTTGTTACTGCAACGTAGCTCAACAGTGACAATATATACACTAGTGTTCACAGGTATGCACTACACAATTAAATTCATTCCCTAATTAAAGGATAAAACCAAAGTAATATAAAAGTAACACACTGGTGAGTGTACAATAGTGTGGAGTTTTGCTAATTCAACTGCAAATTAAAAGTTCGAGACAGTCTGAGGTGTTTTGAGTTTCTGTTTATATAAAACCAAAACCAAATTATTGCCTCTCCTAGCAGAGAAATAGATTCAGCCATGAATATTATCTCTTGTTAAAGGAGCTAGCTTAGCTGAAGGGGCACAGAGCTTGGTGCTCTCCCTTGTGTTTATTAGCATTCACTGAAGTAAGGCTCTTGTGTTCAGGATTGCCAGTTTATAGCCTGGCTTCCTTAAGAGGCAAATAAAAAATTAATGTATCTGTTGCATTCCACACATATCTTCGGTTTTGACAGACAAACAGATATTCACACATCAACATAGTTGTAAATAGACTCTCAAAGGTAAATTATTAAAAACAAGAAGAAAGAAAACAAACTGTAATGCACAAATCTCCTTGGGTATTAAAGATGCAGTTGGCTACGAAGCGGTCATGCACCAATAATGAAGGCTGCCTGTGATCCCCCAGGCCTTCCCTAAATTTCCCCTGCAACTGCAAAATATGTGAATTGAAGTTCCAGCAAGAAAACAAAACAAACAAACATACAAAAAAAAAAAATCAGTCATAACTCATTAGGAACGATGGGCTCAG